TATTCTGATATTTTGAAATTTTAAAAATTCGAAGTATGACGTCATATTTTTGAGAAACGTCAGAAATGGCCATTTTGGCAGAAATTCGAAGAAAAACACAACAACGATAGTTGCGACGACGACAACAACGAGAAAATTGAGAATCAGAATCGGAGAAAAGCAGCAGTAGCAGAGACCGCTCCGAGTTGCAACTATTGTGTCGCTGCAATAATTGCAAGGCCGTTGCGAACAACGGTGAAGGGTGGAAAACTAGCCTTCCGGAAGGAGAATAAGAGCCTTATTTCCCCGGATTCAAGAATCCGGAGGGGTCTCGGGACTGAAACTGATAGTGTTTTATATAAACTTTTAGCTTCCCTGTGATGTCCTGATTTGATTTAATTAACATCTGAATTCATTCTACTAAGATGAGAAGCTAAGAGTTGGGGGAAAGGGTTGATCCATCTTCGATGGAGATGATGATTTTTATCTACTGAACAAAAACAATAATAATTCAATAAGTAGTAGTAGTCTTGTTTTTTTGTGAATGACCTCGTGGTCTGGGGATACTGAGACCCAGCCATGAGCTCACTATTTCTGCATGTAATTAAGTTAATTTGAGTGTTTTGACCGAAGCCGAAAGCAGTAACGTTTTTGTCGACCCGATGTTAGAAAGACCAACGAAAGTACTGGCTTGGTAGAGACGGTTAAAAACATGTAATGCTCTGTGTAGACGTTAGCCAGTCGTCTTAGGACTTAGTTTTATTTTCCGTCGATATGTATCTTCCGGGCGAATGTTACAAAAAGCATGTAGAGCTCTGTTTAGAAGTTGGCCAGTCGTCTTAGGACCTAGCTTTATTTTCCGTCGATATGTATCTTCCGGGCGAATGTTACATTAGTCGGTTTATTAGACGGCACGTCCTGAATATAGACCAAGTGGTCACCATGATTGTTATCGTATAGATTCGGAACAAATAAAACATAGTGTAAGCTGGCCTTCTGTAACAGTCGCCTACTTCGGTCACATATGAGGCTTAAGAGGAATAGGCCCTATAACCATTGGTCCAAGTGTCAGGGACACTATCTCTCGTGTTTTTCAACCTCAAAACGGTCGGAGCCGATTCGGTTCACTTGCGACATGAGACTGAAAACCCGTTACAGCTTAAAGGCCACTACCAAAATACCTCCCACTCTAGAAAATAAGAACGTCCCCATACTTAGGTCTCAAAATACCCAAAATACACGAACGCCGTTAAAAACAGTGTCGGAACAATCCGCACAGTTACTTTTTATTAGACGGTAGAACTTTGATCCATTTCAGATGGATCAACCTAAAACTCTCCTTATCTCACCAGCAAAATCAAGAATTGGAGTAACTAAATCGGTAAGCAACTCGAGAATTAAGTATGATAACTTGAGAAGTTCGTTACTAATTAATTTCAATAAGGGAAATAAGTTTTGACTCAAGAAATGAAGTTTTTGTCTGAACCATTGGGACACCCCAGCTGTCCACCTTTCCACTGAGGGTTCACTCTAGTTCAACTCGATAAATGGACTCTCCTTCTGTAATCACTCCTTCCCCTATTTTAGGATAGGACGGCTCTACTCGCGTTTATTTTGTATCTGGAAGTTGCGAATAGCAATTTACCGCTGCTTTTTCAAGTACTTTCCCGCGATTGTTAATCGGTTGTTCTCATCTTTTATATCTGAGATTTTCAGTTTTCGCGAGAAAGTTGAGCATGACAGGCTCAATTCGAGTTTTTGAAAAATTAAATTTCCTCCCAAAATTACGTAGTTCGTATTCCTCAAGGTCAAACTTCCAATTATGTCCGACTGGCACATACTCCCCGGACTGAAGATCGATGTCCGCATCGCGTGTTGCCGCCTGCCAGTGAGTCCCCAGGATACCGAGTGTTGCTCAAGATACAGTGCCAGTGGTCATTTACAGAAGTTTGCAGCAGACTTAAGTTTATCTACAACCCAAAATTCACCACTATAAAAAATTGTCACACTATTGCTGAACAGCAATCAACATTTTCATATACCTGCACTTTCAATATCCGCTTTTGAAGCTTGTGATTTAAATTTCTTTTGTCCTATCCGATCAGGAAATTGTCATGCAACATTTTGATTCATTTAAAAACTATAGCATATTAATAGCAATATTTTGTTTCGTTAAAATTTCTTTTTCGTGACCTCGGATTTCATCCGACTTCACACTCGAGCCCCTTGCTTTCCCTCTCAAGACTCAAGAAACCCACCTTGAGCTCCCTGCTCACTTCGTATTCCTAGCCTTCGAAGTGCTAGGACCCGATGAATTTGACACCGTGATCTGCCTTAGTAGCGCTTCCTCATCATCAGAGCTGATCACGATTTCTTCCCATGCTCTCAATTGTTCGAAGGATCGCATCCACTCCTTCTGCTCCTGCCACCTCATTGCCTGATTCGGTAAACCTTTCATTTTCAATTCCCTGTTCAAGCAAAAGGAATTGTGCAGGCTCAAGCTCACGTTCTTCGCCAAGTCCTCCTCCAGTATCGATTCTCTTGCTTTGGTATTATCTCTAGACACCCTACCGACTCTTTTCCAACCTGTTGTGATCGCATTTCGATGGGTCAGCAGAGGTCTCTTGAAGGCTTCCGGACCTATCTCCGCCAGGAACTGTCGATATTCCTTTTGGTATTTCTTCTTGTGATCTTTCGTCGCTATGTACAACCAAGACGTCAACGTCGCTCGAAACCACGGAAAGGACCTTATGCGGCTCCATACGTGCCTGACTTCCATTGGTATGGCGAATACCTTGCATACAGTCTCAAACAACTCAAGTCTCCTGCTGTAATCTATAGCGTGTATCGATTCCGTTGTAGGTGTCTTCGACTCCCTATACTTCGTACTTACTACCAAGATGATCACCTTCTGCTGATGATCTGGTAACCCGATTGACCGAATTTGTTCT